TATTTCCATTCCACAAAATGCTCTTTAAAGGTTCTTCATATTATTAAAATATTATTCACGCTAAGATTTTTTTAAGAGTTTAAAAGTTCTTTGAGGAACCAAAACTGGTTCTTCCACTGCATCGCTATGAAAACCAGCTTTTTGAACCTTTGTTCTTAAGAGTGTATTGCATATACTGTTTCACAAAATAGCAGGTAGCATACAGCATATATTGTATCTATCAATGATCCTCAAAAACATCTTGTTCACTAGTGAAAACACAACATTTACATTAAGTTTTTTTTCTTTCTCACAAAGGTCTTAAATCTCCACTGAAGTGACATCTCAGACATGTACAGTATGTGTGTGTTTATATCATATCTCTCCCAGTTTGCAGTAAACTGTGTTTATTGGTTCTGAATCTGGTTCTGCTGCCTGGTGAACTGTAGCTTTTACTTTAATAGTTCTGTCGTGTCCAGATTGCTGTTGCTCCTGATTGTCTCTCATCACCTCCACACTGTCTACTTGACAAGCCTTGGTCTGAGAAAGACACAAACCAACAAATAAACAGGTCACACAGAGTTTCACTGCATTAAATGGATCAAAGGACATTGATTCAAATTACAATCTCACTATTCAGATGAGTTTCAGTAAGATATTGCATACATGTCGTGATGGAGTGTCGTAGATGGTTTCTACTTTGTTGCTGACGGTGTTGTTTCCTGGGGATGTCTGGGATGCGGACGGCTTTTCCACTGTGCAGTAGATTGTTTCATGATGCTGTTGAATCACAGCATGACTGGACTGATAAAGAGAGAAAGAACAGATTTTTAAAAAAGTCATGATAAATAAGTCCATTCTGAGAGAGAATTTGACTGAATTATACCTGCGGATGAACTTTTGAACACTTTCTTCTCTTGACAAATACTACAATGAAACCCATAAACAAACCCAATAAAACACCAACACCAATGGTGACAATGATCCACGTGATGAGTGACGGTGGATAGCGCGAATCACTTCGTCGCTTTTCATGGCCTGGAGATAAATATTATAACACATTTTAGAAAAAGAAACAGCAACAAAACAGCTATTTACACTAGACGTTTTTATTTAGTATTTTTATGTTATTGTTTTATTTTAATAAAAAAAATTATAAAATAAAAATTTGAAGTCCAGGTATGTTTATGTTATGTATAAACAATATTCTTGATGGGGGAGGAGTCAATTAGGCCACGCTCGGGTACGGCACTAAATTAGCAAATATAAGCTCCTCTTCAACAGCGATCATAATGGAGATGGAGCACTTTTAAATATGAAGCAAAATACCACAGACTTCAAACACATCTCAGAATAGCTTAGAAGAAAACAACAGCCCTCTTCTCCTAATCTGCAATTGGTGAGTAGCTGGTGGCTTTAGCCCCCGATTATTGTCGAAATCCACTGATCTTTTTGAAGACTCACGTCTTAAAGGGATAGTTCACCGGCATCCGGTATGTGAGGAGTGTACGCGCTCTGGCGTAGTTTACGTTAATGAGAGTGTTGATATCCAGCCGAAGAGCAATCAACCATAACTTCAGGCGAGCAGGCTCAGAAGTTGGGAATATGTGGAAAGTCACCACTCCCGAATGAGTTCGCACGAGAGAACGTAATCTTTTAGTTTTAAGTTGGTTTGAACAATCCGGATAAGCGCAAGTAAGTATCATTTTGATTAGCAGTTGTACCTACAATGTTCGTGCACTGTGTAAACAATGAGTGACGTATACGTGCGAGAGATCACTTCCGGCGCTTGCGTAAACTACGCCAGAGAGCTGCAGGGTTTAATTTGGATTTGTCTGTGCATGTTTTTTTTACTCTCATAGATTTTGTTACCATTGCCATGCATTATACGACTGATAGACTGCAACGGTTGGAGTTAAAAATCTCCGTTTGTGTTCTACTGAAGAAACAAAGTCACCTACATCTTGGATGCCCTGGGGGTAAGCAGATAAACAACACATTTTCATTTTTGGGTGAACTATCCCTTTAAATAAATAAAATACTTTATATATTGAAGTTATTGATGCACCTTAAAAAATGTCTTAGCACCTCCAAGAAAACATTTCTGGAGCTGCCAGTGCTGTTCACATTTAGCAATTTGGCCCATATGATAGTTTACACATTGTAACGATATAAACAATGAAGCAGTTTGTGGTGCCAAACTTAATGCCAATAGTTAACCAGTCAACAGTCTCTGTGTTTGCCTTATTAAATAATCATGCACTTAGTAAAGCCACAGAAACGCTTCACTTCAGCGCCTGGAGGAAACGGTTCTAAACGTCAAACAGTGATGTAAACACCCCTCTGTTTCTTCCTTCTGTTTTTCTTTCATAAGAAACCAGAGGGGATTTTCATGACCACATATTCACAGATGTGACAAGCTAATAAAACACATAAAAACACAAATAAGAACTTTTAATTTTAACGAATATACAGTGTGAAATCCCAAACCTGACTAAGGATGAATTAAAGTACAAACAGTGTGAAACATGTCACAGGATCAGTATTAAATAAAACTCATGCTTACACGTAACTTTGGGAGCCTGAGAACGATTCTTGCTCACGTGGTTGTTGACGCGGCACTGGATGTCTCCGTTGTCCATTGCAATAGTGATGTTAATGGAGGATAGATTGCCTTGTGTCTTTGCACAGAGACTTTGGTCGCAGTCAAACATGGCCCAGCTGCCATCAACCGAACAGTTTACTGTGGCCTGACACACAGATGAATTCAAGTCATATTGACTCACTTTAATTACAGGCTGAGAGACAGTGTCTGAAAAAAACACCACAGATGAGTTAGTAGCAACATCTGAGCTAAGATATTGAATTATAAATCATGTGATAAGCATTCAATGTACAGTAAATGAGATAGATGGCTAGATCTTACTCTCCACTGTAAGTGTGAATGCAGTCAGAATATCTTCCTCGAAGTTCGAAAGGGCCTCATATTGTCCGCTGTCATTTTCCTGAAGGTCGTGTATGGTCAAAGACCAGTCGGAGACGTTTAAGCTCATTCGTTTCCTATATTTAGCGGGAACTCCCTTTGAGTTTGCAAGCAACTCTTTCCTGTTGAATCGTCGCCATACAGGTTCTTGCAAATGTGACTGATTTCTGGGACTGATGCTCAGTTGGATTGAGCTTCCTTTCAATCCATAACGATTCTCTTGGCAATCAACGGCAAAACCTGCGTGAATGAAAATTTCATTTGACAAAGCTGTCTATAATGATGAGTTTTTTTAAAAGATGCCTCTTCTGCTCACCACGGCTGCATTTATTTGGTCGAAAATACAGTAAAAACAGTAATATTTTGAAATAATATTACAAATTAAAATGACTCTTTTCTACTTGAATATACGTGTGTTAAACTGTAATTTATTTCTGTGATCAAAGCTGAATTTTCAGCATCATTACTCCAGTCTTCAGTGTCACGTGATCCTTCAGAAATCATTTTCTTGCTCAAGACACATTTCTGATTATTACCAGTGTTGAAAACAGTTGTGCTGCTTCATATTTTTGTGGAAACAGTGATATATTATTTCATTGTTTGATGAATCGAAAGCTCAAAATAACAGCATTTCTTTGAAATCTTTGAATATAAATGCATTTACTGTCACTTTTTTATCAATTTAATGCATCATTGCTGTAAATATTTTTATTTATTTTTTTATCTTACTGACCCCAAACTTTTGAATGATAGAACATAAGAAGAAAAATTCAATATGAAATAAAATACAAAACAGGAAGTGTAAAAAATGACTTGAAGAAAAGCCTAATCTTAGATGCATCTGTATCTCATGCAAAGCTATCGCACAACTGCAAAAGACTTGTGCGCAAGCTGTATGAACTACTTTTTGCACCATATATAGGCTACGCTCTGAGAAAAAAAAAAGTATAAAAGCGGTCACTGGGGCAGTACCTTTGCAAAAGGTCCACCTTTGTACCATATTTACCCCTAAAGGGTGCATATTGGTAGCATAAATGTACATATTGGTTTCTAAAATGTACATATTATTAGCTTTTGAAAGAACACCATCCCAGTAACAGCTGCTGTGCTTTTATTTCTGAGAGTGTACTTCTGACGCTATATGCTTTGATTGTAAAGAAAAATCAGGTTGTAAATTCTTACAAATATATATATTTTTTTGTGTTCTACAGATGAAAGAAAGTCATATGGGTTTGGAAAAACACAAGGGTGTTTTGTTGGGAACTATTCCTCCAATAATTAAGTTTAAGAAGAACCTGTAAGGGGAATCTTTTGACTGTTTTGAGCTGGGAAATTCTTCATAAAGCAGATGCGCACCTAAACTAAAGCAAAAAATCCACCGCAGAATGAGTTTCATAGCTGTCAGCTCGACTTTGAAGACTGAAAATAAGACACCAGATTTCCTGTTGAGCACCTGCAGGCAAGAAACAGGAAAGAAACAGAAAAGTGAGTGTCAGCAGTGCATATCTTCTGCAAAACAAGGTCTAGGAACAGAGCAGCAAATTAAGCAGTCTAAATGAATGAATAATTCTATCTCAACCTACTGTTTAGACCAACTTTCTTATGTCCACTAATAACTTCTTATTTCCACAATAGCCTCAGACTTCTGTACTTCTGTAAACCTCAACAAAATAGAAAATGAGCGATTACTGTAAGTATATGTGGGTGTTCATGGGTGGCTGGGTGGGTGTGCATGTGTGCAGTTAGCGGAAAGTTTGAATCTCCTCTGAGCATGAGATGATTTTTCAGTGTTTTCAGTGTTGTTTACACAATGAGTCACAGACAGCAGAAAAGGTCATCTCCGCCAAAACACACACACACACACACACACACAGACATACAACTGTGAAATTAATTCAAATGGAATTTCATAATTAAAGTCTTGCCTACTCAATGTACACCACAAGCACATATTATAGATTCTAAATGAAATCTTAAAGATCAAAAAGTTGTGCTCTAAGTCAAACAAATGTTTACGTGTCCACCTTTTTACATAGAAATAAGCAGATTACACCACAAACAACTAAACCTGCTTAACCAGGGAACACTTGCTTTAACCAGTCATTACAACTTTAATGTAAACAAAAAAACAAATGGCACGTTGTCAAAGGCATATCACTTGTGTTAAATCTAGAATTGCAGACCTGAAGACATTGTACATTCAGAAACAGCTGTGCACACGCAGCACAGTTATGAGAACTCGGTTTATTTTATAATGAATTAAAATGAAACCGAATATGCATGCATTCACATTTCACTCATTACATGTCAAATGTATAAAAGCAAGAAATTGATCCCAAACTATAGAGCAAGTCCTTACCTGCAAGATCTGTTGCAGTAAATGTCTTAAACAGGATGAGACGCAATGGTTTTCCACTCTCAAACTCAAAAATAGTGTCTTCCTGTTCATTTGCATGTTTGAAACAAGTGGGTTCAGTCCTATTTCTACCCTACAATATGAAAGTGATGTCATACGGAAACTATGATTAATACATCACAATGTACTGCAACAGCTATCTATCTATCTATCTATCTATCTATCAACCTTATCTACCCAAAAGCTAAAAGGTACATATTTGTACCTTATTTTTTTCCCTAAATGGTACATATTAGTACTTTAAAAGCACATATTAGTACCTAAAGTGTACATATTACTAAAGTACTTTACATGTGCATAGTACCTTAAAGGAGTCATATGATGCGATTAAAATTTTTCCTTTCTCTTTGGAGTGTTTCAAGCTCTTGGTGCATAAAGAAGATCTGCAAAGTTGCAAAGACTAAAGTCTCAAATCCAAAGAGATATTCTTTATAAAAGTTAAGAGTCAGCCACGCCTACCTAAAACGGCTCGTTCTAACACGGCCCCACATGTCTATGTCACTATGTGGGGAGATTTGCATAACGCCGCCCAAATGTTCACGCAAAGAAAGAAAGTCAAATATAAAAAAATTTACTTACAGGCTGTGAGTCATGAAGCGCCAGACTGTCTTTGCAAAGTTGGAACTGCCCCACTTTATAGAACAGCCTTTGAGCACAGCCCCATTGTAGGCTACTCTGCAGGTTCAGGAAACAGTCCTCCATAAAATGCGTCACATAGCGTCACACACTGCGGGCTAGAGTGAGCAGAGGCAGAGCTTGTAACACTCCAAAGAGAAAGGAAAAATTGAAATCGCATCATATGACCCCTTTAAAAGTACATATTTGTATCTTAAAGTGCATATTATTGCATATTAAAATTACATATTAGTACCTTAAAATTATACATTAATACAAAAGTGTAAATATTAGTACCTCAAAAGTACATCTTTAAAGTGCATATTAGTACCCTAAAGTTCATTAGTGCCTTAAAAGTACATACTTGTATCTTAAAGTGCATATTATCGCATTCAAATTACATTTTAGTACCTTAAAATTACATATTAGTACCCTAAAGTGTACATATTAGTACCCTTTGAAAGGTCTTAGTCAATGGCACACATAATTCAATAAGTGCTGCCAGGACAATAGAATTATAAATATTGATAAATATAAATATTGAGTAGAGAACTGCATCTAAAATCTTGAGTGTTGTGTTTTTCTGTGCGTATATGTGACTGCATACAGTTGCTGAAAGAAAAATATAAATATACATACTGTACATACTGTACAGTGACTTCAGATGAAGGCTGAATTCACCGCAGACGCATCTGCATCACACTTTAATCTTTCATTTTCATGATGCTGGGAATTGTAGGGAATACACACCGGGTGTTTTTAACACTCACCTCAGAATCACACCAGGTGCTACGAAACTATGATTTAACACCGTTCATTGAACACACTGATAAAATCACTGTGCGACTGCTTCAAAACTTCTCATTTATTAAAAACAGACATTTGAGATCATTAGCAGTTAAAGTGATGAAAGTCCAGTTCTGAAAGTGACTAAACACAAAAGGAAATTCGTGAAACAGATGTTTCCTTACAGCCACAGTTTAAGACAGGCAAAATGCAATAAAGATTCAACCAAAATCATTCTTTTTCAACAACATAAATCTGAATAATAATAATAATAATAATAATAATAATAATAATAATGTGTTATAGGTGGTTTATATCACCTGCAAGTTGAATCTGATCTCTGAGTAGAGAACTGCATCTAAAATCTTGAGTGTTGTGTTTTTCTGTGCGTATATGTGACTGCATACAGTTGCTGAAAGAAAAATATAAATATACATACTGTACATACTGTACAGTGACTTCAGATGAAGGCTGAATTCACCGCAGACGCATCTGCATCACACTTTAATCTTTCATTTTCATGATGCTGGGAATTGTAGGGAATACACACCGGGTGTTTTTAACACTCACCTCAGAATCACACCAGGTGCTACGAAACTATGATTTAACACCGTTCATTGAACACACTGATAAAATCACTGTGCGACTGCTTCAAAACTTCTCATTTATTAAAAACAGACATTTGAGATCATTAGCAGTTAAAGTGATGAAAGTCCAGTTCTGAAAGTGACTAAACACAAAAGGAAATTCGTGAAACAGATGTTTCCTTACAGCCACAGTTTAAAATGCAATAAATGCAATAAAGATTCAACCAAAATCATTCTTTTTCAACAACATAAATCTGAATAATAATAATAATAATAATAATAATAATAATAATAATAATAATAATGTGTTATAGGTGGTTTATATCACCTGCAAGTTGAAAAGTTTATATCTGATCTCTCATAAAAATTATTTTATAAAACGAATTACATTTCACCTCAGCAATCTGTATAATGGGGAGTTTGTTCACTCAAAATAACACAATGCATGAACAATAGTAATTTACCACAGTAACAGTGATTCTTGACTTAATAAACAGTTCTAACGTATTATTATTATTATTATTATTATTGCTGTTGCTGTTGTTGATTCATAGGCACATTGACTTGACAATTACTATATTTCAAAATACATTCTTTCACTCTTCGTCATCATCTTCACATATAAAAGGTCATGTACAGTTGAGTTGGACCCAAACAAAATATCAAAAATAAATCCTCCTCCTCGAGTTAAAGTGCTTTTAGTATTGTTAACAAACATCATGTTTATTCCAGTGACAAAAGATCAACTATGGGGAAAACAACTATATCTTTACCCAAAATAGCTCTAAACTGGCACTGTTAGACACAAACATAGATGCAAATCACATCCAATGCAGTCTCTCAAGACACGCACAAGTTATTCAGTCTAAATGTTGTACCTTTGCTCTATCATTAACTACAGTACAGTGGTTTAAATATTATGATTTTTTTCCAGTCAATGACATGCAACATTGTAATCCATAATCCTTCTGCAAAAATAGATCGATATCCATGTGTTTATAAAATCAGGTATTGTCCATCAGAGTTTACAGAATAGTTGTTCTTCTCAAAGTGTGTCAAATCTGTGGCACTGCTTTTCTTGGCCACAAGGTGGTGAACTAGTCTTTCCCGGTGAGCAGGTTCATCGCACCAGAGTCTGTTGCTGTTTTGTCATGTGTAGAGCTGCAGATCTATGTTGAATCATCATTTGATTCCACATGGACTAATAGTTTAGTAGTTTACAGTATTTCTCATTTACGGATTCCAGCTATGTCCAGAACGGAACACTAGCATACTAGCATTCATATGTAGCATACTAATTTTCAAAAGTAACATGTGAAACGATGTGCATTAGGCAGTGATAAGAGTTTTAAATAATAAAGAAATAAAGAAAGTCAGGAAAAAGGGTTCCTCAACTGGTTGAGCATGATGCTAGAAACATATAGTTTGAATGCACTGTAAGCGACGCTTGATAAAAGAGAAAAACGTGGCTGAATTACTTCAGGTTCTGAAATCATAATATTGCATTGCATTGTGAGATACGTATTACTCAGTGTGCTCTGGTTCTGTTCTCCACAATTTGCAACCCAGGCTCATTGGAAAAACATGCCTGCGTGTCCATTTCTGCAAAGTGATATTATGTTGCTTCTTGCACATTTCGTAAAACTTTTAAAATGAAATTACCAGTGGGGGGGGCGCTAATCTGGCAACGTTTTATCGCGCTGGTTGTTCTACGTATCTCAGCAGTTTGGAAATGCAATGTCCAGTTGGTGGAGCTTAAACCACATTCAGTTTAATCCAAAACAGTTGAACATGAATCTGGCAACGTTTTGTTTCATTGTTTCTTGTACATATAGGGGGGAAGTCGTGGCCTAATGGTCAGAGAGTCGGACTCGTAACCCAAAAGTTTGCGGGTTCGAGTCTCGTACCAGCAGGGATTGTATGTGGGGGGAGTGAATGTACAGCGCTCTCTCCCACCTTCAATACCACGAGTGAGGTGCCCTTGAGCAAGGCACCGAACCCCCAACTGCTCCCCGGGCGCCACAGCATAAATGGCTGCCCACTGCTCCGGGTGTGTGTTCACGGTGTGTGTGTGTTCACTGCTGTGTGTGTGCACTTTGGATGGGTTAAAATGCAGAGCACTAATTCCGAGTACGGGTCACCATACTTGGCCACATGTCACGTCACTATAGCAATGTATAGTTCGCAAATGAATGTCCGGTGAGTGTTTGAAAATAACATAATCTACATTAAATCCAGCCTTAAATGCAACCCATAGCGTTAACAAAAGTGAAATGAAATACATTTGCTGAGGTAACCATGGCATTTTATCTTGCTTCTACAAGCCTTTGAGCTCTTTTATCATGACTTGTATTTCAGGAGACTTTAGCGCTTTGCATCACAAGTGCAGTGCTGTACCGGGTGAGCTATCGAGCAAGTTTACTAAGTCAGAAAAACCATATTATGGACCTGACTATGTGATTATTATGTGCAAACGTCAAAATGTATTACTTATTAGCTCATAACATAGTATTGCGCAAGGTACCATGTGAAAATAGGCTTTTAACAATCAATAATATGTCCTTGTAATCATAATTAGTTTGAAAAGGAATATAAGTTGTTGGTGCTTTACTGCCACTAGTGTTCACTGCAACTAGAAACTGCAGTGAGTTGTATATAAAAGTATGTTTTTGGAGTTTTGCAAAAATGTAGGAAAAGGCATGCTTTTCCAATCATGTTCCCATAGTAGATCATCATTGTGTTCTGTTCATACAGAAACTTGCATGCTATGCACAGTATACGTACTATATACTGCAGAAACAGCAAGTGTAGTATGTTAGTGTGCTATTCCGAACATAGTCGCTTCTCTATTTCACACTTGTATGCCAGTGTATTTCAGCGCTAGCCAACTCTACTGGCACGCTACCTTGTAAAACAGGTTAGCTCAGTGGCATCAAAACAAAAGTTGGCGAACACTGAATCAAACAAGTACTCAAGCAATTTATCTCCATCTGATCCCCCCATTCATTCATTCCTCTGTTTTTCGCTCTCTAGACGTTACTAATGCGGACGCTAAGCTGGTCTCGGACACGCCCCCTGTCCCGCCCCCTTTCCTCCCAGTAACTCTCCTCCAATCGCATCTTCTCCATATCCGCCCCTTGGTCTCCACCACCACTGCCTTGATGTTGCGGTGACTGGGTGTTTGGAGGCGGGGCTTGTTTGAAAAGGGGCGGGGTCTTGGTCTTGGCAACCTTGTCAAAGAAGGCAAAATCAGCTACATACTTTCCGGAGGGGGAGAGGGAGACGACAGGTGGAAACTCGTAGCCCCACAGGATCTCATCGGGCAGGTAGGAGGTGCGAACTTGGCAGGTGGCCGAGGTCGGCTCCACAGTAGCACTCATGATCACAAGCAGCTCAAAGTCAGCCAGCTCCGGATCCGTCCACCCACCACCTTAGAAAGAAAGATTCACAGTGAAACAGACAGCAGAAATTCAGTAAAGGAATGTTGTCCCAAACCTGTATGGCTTTGTTTCAGTGTGGCAAATGAAATAGTACAGCTCTCAAATCTCATTTATGCTTGAACATAAGCAAACCTAGTCACATCCAACAGATTTAGAGTGGGACTTTTTTTGGAGCTTGTCTATTTTCATTTACAGTATCTTATTGAATATAACTTAAATATTCTTCAAATAATATTTATAATGTAATATATACTTTATACAGTATATTAAGTATACTTACTGTGAACATCTGTTCATTAAGCCTTCTCTTTACTCCATTTAGATGTGTATTATTTTTTTTTCTACCTTAATTCTACTTATTTATTTTTTCTTTATGTATATTATGCAGGGTTATTTTAGTTAACTAAAACTAAAACCATGAAAAACATTTCTGTTCCTTGAAATAAAATAAACATTAACTGAAATAATATAAAATAAAACTAAACTAAAACTTTTTTTTCAGCTTGTTGTCAAAGCGACATATCTCATTTTCAATTAATATTGATGTACTAAAATAACTAAAATTAAAACTGAAATAAAAATTAATAAAAAAAAACTATATGGACATTACGTAAGGAAAAATACGGCTCATACCAGCAGAACTACAAATGCCTTCACTCGTAAACATGCCATTCACCCACTGACACACACACACACTCACAGTCACACACACACCTGCATCAACATCCCACATTCAGAGCGAGAGACTGTCATCTGTGAAAACAGTCTCCTTTAACCCAGAGCCAGTTCTGCATTCTGGGAGCAAAAAACATGGGGTTTCACAACCCACAAACACACAAGAGCATGCTCACAAAACAAAGTGTGTTTTACAGTGGCCCCAAAAAAAGTATCTGGACACTTGAGTCACACTTAGAAATGTCACTGCAATACATTATAACATTTTAAGTTTAGCATAATTTATTTTACAGAAAGACAGCACAAGAACTCATTTTAGAGAAATGTGTTTGCATTGTTTTATTGTTAATGCTAAACCAACAGATGACAAATGGTGTGATATTTTCTAATGCAATGACATTCGGACAGTAAGAATGGCATTAAGCATTCAAAATTTATATACATCATAAATTAATGCAAATACACTGACATGTATTAATTATCAGCATATGAAGATATTCTTTGGTGTCGTTCACACACTGATCATGGCAGAACTCAGTGGAAAGATCCTCAGGGGATGTGTCTTTAATGCGTTTGAGGAAAAGAGATCAATCATACTACATACATTTTCATGTCCCCATCAAATATAAGTTAATATACTGAATAAAGGAATTAAATCTTATAGTTACCTTTCTTTTATCACAGTTTGTATGTATGAATATGTAAACATAGGGCTAAATTTGAAATGGACATGAAATTTTTATAATGTCTCTGGGTGCTGCAATAATTTTAAAAACATAAAAAAAACTCTTAAGATATATTTCAATCTATCAACAATATAATATTGGTATGTATACGAGTAGTGGGTACATTCTGCAAAACATCTTTTGTGTCCCACAGAAAAAGAAAGTCATACACGTTTAGATTGACATGAGGGTGAGTAAAGAATGACAGAAATGTCATTTTGTTTGAAGGTTTCTTTAACACAATGTTGAAAAAAAACTGACAATGTGATAATTTGTTTTTCTGCAAAATATATATTGCTATCTGGTGAACATTACTGTATTTTTTTTTTCATATGACTTTAATAGTTCTATTTGGAATTAATTAATCATTCCAGAATGCTAGGGTAGATTTTGTTGCGAAGTACATCTGCACAGAAAATAAAAATAATTTAGCAAATCATCATTTTAGGGTTAAACGATTTGGGGGGGGGGTTACCTTACTCAAAGCTCTTTCAGTAACCATGAAGTGAAATTAGTTAAAAAAATACAAAAATAAATCTCTTTCCATTTGAGTTTTCATAGGCCACATGTTTTGACCCATTTAATTGGACTATAAATGGTTAATATAATTTTTAAATATAATTTTGTGATTATTAAATAAAAAAAAATTTTTTTTTAATCATTTTATTGTATAGTACAAAGATCAAATTCAGTACTATTATTTGCATATTAAATTCTTAATTTTCAAAAGTTAAAACATCAAGCTTAAATTTTGATGGTTTGCCTGCAAATAAATATATGCGCTGCCGGTTTCAGAGTGAAGTGGCACGGTGTTCATTTACACGTGTGCATATTATAATACAGCGTTTCAGCATCTCATAGCAGCTCGATTCTCAGTTAATGAACCAAGGCTCACTAAGATGCTAAAACTCTATTTTTAAAGAGGTCATATGATGCGATTGCGATTTAAATTTTTCCTTTCTCTTTGGAGTGTTACAAGCTCTTGGTGCATAAAGAAGATCTGTAAAGTTGCAAAGACTAAAGTCTCAAATCCAAAGAGATATTCTTTATAAAAGTTAAGAGTCAGTCACACCTACCTAAAACGCCTCGTTCTAACACGCCCCCACATATCTACGTCACGATGTGGAAGGATTTGCATAATGCCGCCCAAATGTTCACGCAAAAAAAAAGAAGGCGTAACTTTAATTCTTGCTGTTGCCACCGCTGCCATGTTGTGGAGAGGGGTGTTGTAATGGGTTTTATTGTTGTAATGTGTTTTGTTGTAATGGGTTTTATTGGTTTTGTCTCGTCCTGCTGGGAGAGCTTTGTAAAAATCGACGCGTTTCAGAAAGGCAGGGCATAGAGGAGAAACAATAATGTACATTATATGGAAAATAATGTGTTTTTTTAACCTTTTTGAACCGCATAAACACATTTCATTACACCAAATACACCAAATAATGTTCTATTTAGCAACGTCATATGACCCCTTTAAATTAAATCGCAGCCTTCACGATTTGACGATTGCATTCAGCCCTATCACAATATTTGTTTTCGATATATTTCATGTAGCCCTAGTTTGATACCACAAGTAAAACACAGTCTCTGAGTCAAACACACACACACACAAACATATTCATGAGTGAACATCTTGTTCTGCGGTTCATATAGCTTTATGCTGAGTTGTCACAGGGCTCCCGCAGAGGCCCATGTCTCTTCTCCTCAGCCTCTTACACAAACACAATGCCACATTCAGTGGACTGGCACACTGTGTATTTAGTTGTTTTTTTTTCTTCTATAGATTCACACACACTGGTGCACTGTGGGCGCACATCCATACACATACATTTACACACAGCCACTCGGGCACATACAGATTTACACTGTAATGCAGCGGCACGCTTTCGGACACGTTTTTAAAACCGGTGCCAGTTTCTTCATTCATATGCAAATGTACTTCCATTGGAGCATTCTGAATAGCTATTTCTACTTCATATTCAGGTTTTTAAAGAAAAATTTAATGGTCAACATACAAAACAGAGTCATTTCTGGGAGGACACGATGAAACGGGAAGTCATCAAGAGATTAATTTGGATGAGGTAGCATTAGGTATAAGTGGGGTCTATTAAAAATAACCCAATACCGTATAATCTGACTACAGTCAATTACACTGGGCGATCTGGCTAGACTACAAACACGATGAGAAAGAAGCATTAAGACGAGAGAAAAAGCACATCAGAAACCATAAACAGATACACAAGGATATGCACGTACAGGAAAAACACATAGACGTGCGAGATGAGAGTCGCATTCATTGAATCAAGTGCAAAAGCGGGGGACCGGAGGGTCTGATATATTGGGCCCTCGATGGGGTAGAGACTGGGACCGAAACTGGATCCACGACCTGCGTGTCAGCACCAGGAACTGGGCTGCTTTGTGCCTCTAATGAGACGCTCTGGCACACTCTCATACACGCATTCCAGCCAAGGAGAGAGAATGTATAAAAGAAAGAGGGAAAGCTATGTCTGTAAAGAAAGTGAATGTGTGCTAACAGAGAGCAAATGAGATGGAGGGAGGAAGAAGACAATAAATGCAGATCATCTGCCAATAATAGAAGTTCCTGTAAACATACCCCCACCACCTAATTCATTATTACATTTTCTACAATTCACACTAAAACTTTTGTTTTACTGCAGATAGAATGTGAAATCCGCTTCTGTCCTTTAACCTCCCAAAATTCAATTAACCTTTTGCAGTCTTTACCAATGCAGTAATTCCCAAATGCCAAACCTGACACCAAAGGTCCTTGCTGAAAAATTGATTCTTAGCTAGTTTAAGCTGGTCTTCCTGTCTGGCCAGCTGTTAAGCACTCAAAATCCCTTAAAACCACCAAAACAGACCAGCCTTGTGGATTGGTGACTTGTCCGGTCTGTTTTTCCCAGCATGATTCAGATTTTGACATTCAAACCTGTGAAAACCTAAATTGAAGGGAGATCAGTTTACATTTAGTCTCATTATCATTGAATTTGGAGGTACCCAGGGCTTGAAGTGGGTGAACTTCAATATTTTAGTCTTTAGCGTACCAGCACTTTTTCATGCGTACTGGCACTTCCGACATGTTGCCGGTACTGAGTCAAAGCATCAGTGTCTGGGTGATTAGAAATGACACTATAAAGCACACTACCCCGAGGTCATTTGAAACCGGTAAACTTCTGGAAAGTTCAAGATTCCAGTTCAAAGTTCAAAACAGCGCTAATGCAAAGAAAACATGGACGATTTAATCAGAAATGGCAGAGAGAATAGTGACTCGCATCCAGATGGCAGTATATTATTCTTTTCAGAGTGTATTTGGCTTAAAAGCATGAGTGTTTTATAATGAATGCTGGCTGAAGGTGTTTTAGATTATGCACTGGACAGTGGTTTAGTTATTCTGAATGGATCCGTATAGTAGCATGTACAGTCAGGTTAAGGCAGCAGGTTTAGTGGTATTTTGGCACCTCCCTGTGGTCCTGTGTGGTATCGCAGCTTAACTGGTCCTTATTTATATAAAAAATGCTCTGAACAATTTTCTTTCTTTCTTTCTTTCTGCATTATATACATACATTGGGAATTATGAAAAGTAATTAATTAATTAATTTTTTGGGGGGAAGGGGGGTACCGGCACTTCTTTTTTTCCACTTCAAGCACTGGAGGTACCTCAATAAATAATTACGGCAGCATCGAAAAACAAGCTACATTGGCTGATGGTTGGTTGATTACTCCTGATGCTAATTGTTATTATTATTGCTCAAGGACTGACGTAAGGACTGGTGGGGATGACAACTGTCCTCCACAAATTCACAGATGATGAGTGGAAGACACATTTCCACATCCGAAAATTAAAGCTCAAGAAAATCCCAATTTCCCAAGTTTTTCCCACTCATAATTACAACATTGTGGTGGTGTTCATTTGCGTTTAACCTATAAATATACAAATTTATCATTACATTTTGTTGTGGACCAGCAAGCATCAACCCAGAACACTTTAGCAACCACTAGCAATTCTCTAAAAAACACCCAGAGCACTCTTGCAAATGTTTAGCAATGCCCTAGCAACCTACCCAAACACCCTAGAATCATGGTAGCAAGTTTTGGGCAGGCAAACAGTAAATGTACAAATCTAGTTCACATTTATCCTCATGATTAATCAGAGGCAAAATGGAAACATAAATTGAGCCACTTTGGCCTGCCACGCGCACTTGATTCAGGTGTGAAGTGTCAGTGGAAACAGGGCACCAGTGTGTACTCAAAGTTCCAAAACTTCCTGAACCTTCTGCCTGCAGCGTGACCTCCGCGCTGAAACAGAGCTTCTCCGGTGTCTTTGACACTTCTCCCCACACTGCTGTTTCACGTTTCTCTTGTGTAGCACTCTATCCTCAAAACAACTCTGCTGGAGCCACGGGGGTCGGTGCCCAACCACGCTGTCCCTGTTCTCAGGTGTATCCTACTGACAGTCTTCATCTGCCATCATAGACAGTGCCATCTCTGCAGTCCCCCACAATCACAAAGAAGCTAAGATTAGATGTAGGTTTTTTAATGTGCGCAGAACTAAAAAACATGCATTTGACAGACTTTTTTATTGAAAACAACTTTCATTGCATTTATGGTACACATGGTCATGGGTTCAATTCTCAGGGAATGCATGAACATCAGTTCATCAGTTCAACTGATGTTGAACATTCAACATCAGTGAACATCAGCTTAAGTTCATGCACTCCTTGGGAATCGAACCCACATGAATTTGGCAGACGCTTTTATTGAAAGCAACTTACATTGCATTCATGGTATACATGGTCATGGGTTCGATTCCCAAGGAATGCATGACCAATAGCTTTGCCAGAGCTATGCTCTAATGTTTGAGCTACAGGAATCTCAAAATTCCTCTGATGTGATGGGTTTGAATTGTACATATATGAGGAAATGGAGTAGTGGCGTCTAGTAATTCAAGCTCAAGGCTGGTAACCAGATGGTTGCTGGTTAATTCACCAGAAGGAATGGTCCATGAGCCAACAGAGCAAGACCTAAGGTTGAACAAGCTGAAACTATGCCTGTTCTGTTTTACATCTACCCATTTGGCAGATGCTTGACCCAAGACCTTGGCAGAGGTCAGCACCATGCACTTCCATTTGCACTACAGTGATACCAGTTCAACTTACAGTAGAAAGTAATGAATACTTTTTTCTAATGGGACGGTTCTATGCTTAGGATTTCAAGCACCATTTTGGAATTTCAACATCTCAACGTCACATTTTATTGTTCTAGTTACACTCCTAGTTCTCCTAGGCTTGCGTACCTTTGGCAGCCCAGGCCCACAGTGGGCTGTTGTCATCAATCACGTGGTAGAAAGTGAGGGGCAAGATGAGGAAGGGGCTGTCACTGGATGTGTCCACTTGGAAGGCTACATTCCTCTGTTCCAGACGCACTGTCTCACCCTCTTTAGTCTGTGAAGTCTGCAGCAGCTTACCTGTTACCTGAACAGGATGTACAGTATGATAAGTTGCACATATGTTACGATAGAAATGAACATGAAATTAAACATGAATGCATCATATGTGTTTACCTGGCAGCCCAAAAGGAGACTCTTACGCATGTTAGCGATACGGATCATAAGACAAGGTCGGCCCTCATGATTGGCGACCACAGCATGTTGACTGAACTTCACCGTCTCACCACGTTTTTTTGGCCGTGCTACCTGCATACACCAGATGAAAATGTACATAACACCTTATTAGATATGAGAGAACTGTACATGTCATAAAAATATATATTTTTAAACCAATATTGTTCCAGTTCAATCCAGTTCCAGTATGGCTGCACGATTAATCACAATACAACTGAAATCCCAAAATGGCTTTGTACGATTATCAACCTGCAAAGGCTCCGGTTTTATTTAAATTAATAAATTAAATAGTGTTTTTGAGTGAAGCTCAGCACTGTTCATTTACACGTGGGCAGCTCATGATAGATCATCCAGTGTTTTCAGTGTCTCAGATCGACTTGGTTCACAGCAAATGCTGCTCCGCACAAAATCCATCTCTGTATTTGCTGTGAGTTTGGTCCACTTGAAATGCATTTGGGAACTCAACATTTGCCAGCCTTCTTCCCACACTTGTAATGAGAAATGCTACTAAACTGGCTAATGTCAACAAAATAAGAGCTTAAGGGTCTCCTTGAGGTTTTCTGCCAAAATGAAAGCTCGATTGTTTAACATTTCAAAATTGAAGATATAAGACAAACAGAAATATTTGTATTGTAACTGTACAGTTTACAAAATTTTCTTAATAATGTGGTCAGATTTTTTATTCCCAAATCCTGCAGCCCTAAATTCCAGTGCTCCTAAGCACATTTGCGATGTACTTAGAAACCTAAGCAACTTTTCAGACAAGTTTTCTATTGTACCTTGGCAAGGAAGGTTCCAGTGATGAAGATCTCCATCACCATGGTGATGACAAGTTGGACAATAAGCAGAATGATAGCAAGAGGACATTCCTCAGTGATGCAGCGAAAGCCATAACCAATCGTAGTTTGTGATTCCAGGGAGAAAAGGAACGCTCCCGTCAGGGTTTGGACCTGCATCACACACGGCGTGTGGTTGGACGGAGGGTCGAACTCTGGTGAGAAAGGACAAGAACCAAAGAGATGAAAATTACAGGGTTGCAATATAATAATAATATTTGCGTAAATAAACATGAAGGTCCTATTGAAGAACATCTTCTTTCCTCCTCACCTAGCAAATCTCCATGCACAAGTGCCACCAAGTACCACAGCACTCCAAAAACAAACCAGGTGCCAGCGAAGGTGGCAGAAAACAGAAAAAGCTTGTAACGCCACTGCAGGTCCAGAAAGGTCGTCCACAGGTCACGCAGGTAAAGCATCCCTCGACCGCTGATGTGTTCGATGCGTACATTGCTCCGCCCATCTTTAGATAGCACCCGTCGACGGCGTCTCAATGCCGCAGGTCCGTTTTCTGTCGAAGCCCCGCCTCCTCCACCAAGGAGTGGCTTTAGAACATCTGTCTGTGTCTGGGAGTGGCAGACCTTCTGTGGGGAGGGGCTACGGGAAGAAGGGGGCGTGGCTGAGGTCATAGCTAGAAGGGAAGAGAGAGATGGTTTAAAATCAGTAGTCTGATTTCTTCTAACTTCATGCAGACCTGAGCTCCAGGGTTGCAAGGAGATTGGCTACCCCTGGTTTAAAATGTGCATGTTCACTATCCATGGTAAATTAAAAAATAAAATAAAATAAAAAGTTGTTATTTTTAACACAGATCATTTATGTCTTGTGTATAAAACTCTGCAAATTATCTCCGCTAATTTACGCTATTTCTGCTGTAAGATCTGAACTTCAACCAGAGATTTAGAACTAAGAGCTTCATAAATCATTCATGCATTAAAACTCATCATGATGTAGTGGTTTGTGTTCAACATGCAAACAAAACCAGTTTCTAAAATGCACAGGTGGCAAGGCTTTCTTCATTCAAAACTCTAGTTAAAGACTGCTAAAGCTTTAAGCACACAAGGCTGGTTCTTTCTTGGAAAAGAGACAGTCTGTAATTAGGTTAATGTTCAATTATGACCAAACAAACACTGAGATGATCAGACAATGATCAACAGCTAATACAGCCCCACATAAAAGTGACTCTCTCACAATTAGAGTTCAATGCCATGAGTTTTACATTTTACAGTATCTTGGTGAAGCATAAAATAAATCACTGTTTCTTTTGTAAGTGATTCACCATGTAAAGCAATTTACAGAAACTTCCTAGCACAATACCATTACAAAGTGTAAATTACAATTAAAGTCTAAGGCAGGTTGAATTTTTTTAAATATAGTACTGTAATAACAACAAACTTTGGGGGTAAAATGTTACCTGAACTTCTCTTTGTTTGAGTGTTAAGTTTTTGCTCTGACGCTGAACTATGATGTTGTTATCTGTCAGTTTAAGTTTTCACATTGCCATTTATATTTTTCTCACAATTCCACTTATTTCCCTAATTTTTTTTTCTGGCCAGCAGTGGATGTTATCAGATGGGACTCGTACATGGCACAGTTTAGGTTACAGAAACTACTAGTATCTTGTTACTCTGACATAAAAAGAAGTTCTTCTTAATGAAATAACCAATCCAGCAGTTAGGCTTCTGTGTGAGGAACCTTATCACCTTATCGCCGTCTGTAAAATCTAGGTCGTCTCGTAGCATTTTAGAAGAAATAGCACATGGGAAAAGAGAGGGCTCTATCTCTATCTGAGCTCTATCTGAAAGACGTGCATCGTCCAAGTAAAGAGAGCCACATTAGGGACATATTAGGGTTCTCAGCAGTATCTAAAAACGACTTTTCTAAAAGCTGAAATGGGCAAAGTAGCTTCCACTGCGATCTTTATCGCAGACACGTGAGTGCATCCTTCTCTCCTGAGGTTTGTGTGTGCCAGGAAGGGGTACAGGGCCGGGTTTGGGGGCGACCCTGGTGGTCCTTTACTGTTTTTTGACTCTACATTCAGGCCCTCCAGCTGCCCAAGCGCATTAAATGCCCCTCATTCACACAGTGGAAGCAGCTGCCCTTTCTCATTTAAAGGCTAGTCGTCAACGCTGACCAACTCACATGCCGTGCTCGGTTGGCCCGGGTGAGCAGTGAACGGGGTGACTTATTCACCTTCCAAAAACACAAAACCGCAGGAAGGAATCAGAGATGAAAAGAACACCACAATGCTTTCCATATTCCCAGCATTCCTCTCTTACATTGAGAATGACGTTTCTTAACCCTTCACCTTTATAAACTTTGTTTCATAGATGCTGCTTGGGCAGTTTTTCAATCACTGGCTCAGTCACTTCTCCTGCGCTTTTGCTCAAACTTTTTGTGTATGCAAACCACACATTATCTAGAAAAAGTACAGAGATCATGCTCCAAGAACGGACTATTGTTAATCCCAAATGGTCCTGGAATAAAAGACAAGACGAACCATCATAGATTAACCATTTTAAGCTTCACAAACATTCACAAAAGAAACACTTTCTTTTTTTCTAACTTTTTTGAAATACATCTACAGTGGCCCCGAAAGTATTTGAACGCTATTGGCTATTTTAAAAAAGGGGCGGGGCTGCTTGATATGTCCAGCCCTGTCTTCCTGTTTCAGTTAAAATTACGTCAACACATAGAGTAACACTGCGTGTTTCTAAGCATTTCAGGGGACCTTTAAATAATTATTTAAAATGTCTGAATGTCATTACATCAGATAACAAAATAGCAATTGTCAATTATTTTCAAGAAAGACTACATAAACACAATTTTTAATCAAAACATCTGGACATTTTCTTTCTTCAGTGGAACACAAAATATATTTTGAAGAACATTGGGAACCAAACCATTTTGGACCCCATTGACTTCCATTGTTTGGGCAAGCAAATATATAAATAAATAAATATCTTCTCAAAATATCTTCTTTTATGTTGCACAAAAGAAAGTCAGTCATACAGTTTTGGAACGACATGGTTGTGGAAGTTGCAGGAAATAATGAGTTTTCATTTTGGGGCGAACTGTCCTCTCCATTTACAAGGTTCCATTGACAAAACAATAGATAGAAATAGAAAATGAAAATGAAGAGTATTATGTAACTTTGTTTGTGGTTAGTGAATCATACTGCTAGTTAATGTGATTCTCTACTGTACTGTGGTTCCTCTGAGAACTGACTTCATGCATCCACTAAAAATCACCAAAACAGCAGCTGATTCAAAGAAACTGAGACAAAAATGAAGAAAATTGTTTCTCCTAAGAAAAAAAAAAGCCAGTTATCTCACGTCTCATAAGACATCTCAACAGTGACTCAAACTGTGCTCAGATTCGCCAAAAACCCAAGTCTGTAATCAAACAAAATCTCAAACATGAGCTCAAACACTTCTTTTTTATTTCGTCGCAATATGTAACTATATTATCTCCCAGCTCTTTATACGTGTGTACAGCGATATATACTAGTTTATATAGCAAATCTCAACTGCTTGACTGCTTTAATCATTGATTAAATGATTGCTTGATTGCTTGAAAGCTCTAGTCTGCTAAATGTGACTATAAACACACGATATTAAGATATTATAAACATTAACATCATGATTCTCTGTAAAGCTGCTTTGAAACAATATGCATTGTGAAATGATTTGACTTGTTAAATTCTTACAGGATCCATGATCTGAGGTGCTATTCGTGTTAATTTAATTGCTCTATAATCATACTGGATATCAAACAATTGACTCATTTGTAAATTTGAGGGCAAACAGCTAATACCAAGTTAATCCGCAAACAAAAACATAACTAAGAACCAATATCTTAGCTATACGTTACACAAGGAATCACTTTCGAGGGTGACTCTATTCATTCACACTGCTCAATCTCACCCTCTTCTCTTCCTCTCTTCATTCTTGTTTAAATGTCTAGTGGTAGTTTAGTCTCACTCAGCCTTCCACACCAAATGAGATGAATAAATGAAATGAATGAGTACCAGGGAGATGTGATACGCTCTCCCCTCTCTGACCTCACTCTCTCTCTGGACTCACACTGAGAGAATGAATAGGTATCTGTCTGGTTCTCTGTGCTCTGAATACTAACGCCGGCCGAGAGGGAGAAGGCGGTTCCTCGCTGAGGCACGTGTTATAAGCAGAGTGTACACACAGCTGACCTCTGAACTCTGGCGAGTACGCGCCCACTGATACAGTGCATACAGTAGACGTTACCGCTGACACGCACTTGACTCAATGTATGTTTCTCATGCTCTCAAGCTGGAAATGCATGAAATTAGTTCTGTAGACAAATATACATTGTGCCTACACGTAAATATATTGAATGCAAACTATTTCAATACTACTGAGAGGGAAAATTGTCATCAATTCCATATTTCAGTGTGTTGTTTTATGACTTTATTATTATTCTGCAATGTGGAAAACAGTCATAAAGAATAAGGAGGTGCATCCAGACTTTTGACTCGTACTGTACTGATGCACGCCGACATGAGTTCAAAGAGAGCGGCAAAAACGAAGCCATGTTGCTTCACTGTGAGAGTTTACAAATTGTCTTCATCTTTTTCCTCACTCTTCCTCTCACTTTCTGTCCACCCTCGATGTCTTTCTTTCTCACTCGCTGTCCTGTATACACAAGAATCCTTTTGTTTAGAGACGAGATGAAAGAGACAAAAGCCACCATTGAAAAATACAACACTGCATGTGTGTGAGAGAGAGAGAGAGAGAGTAAGTGAGACACAGAGAGAGAGAGAAAGGAAGGAATGACATCCAGAGATGGACAGAAATCAGGCCGATATTAAAACTCTCATCAGTATTCTGTGGATGTGCAAACTTTTACTTTCCTCTATTCACCACATCCAGTGCAATCCTCTCAGTCGCAGTCGAACGTACTTGACTTTTCTATTTTAAAGTTCTCTGGAAATCACTCTGCGAACCAATTGACTCGCTTAACAGTTCAACATGTGCACGGTTATCTGATCTAGGCAGATCAGTTATTTCATTGGCTAGCTTGGTTTAAATCTCCAAAATAAGCATTTTGAAATGAATGAGGGGGGAAAAAAGCAAAGGAAAAGTCCAAAAAGGAAACCCAAAGACTTTGCCAGGTCTGACGTCTGCCAGAAAGAGCCACGGGGAGCATATCAGATCAGTTGAAAGGAACAAAAAAAGAAAAGAATACCCACGCGATGCTGTGTTTCAGTCAAAGTCTATGAAATTATTTTGATAGCAGCGGATAATGCCTCCTCCTTTATATCTCTGCATCAGTAAATATTATTTCTCTACAGCTTAACAAAGTGAACTGTAACTGTAAATTGAATTTGAAAGCTGTACACACTTAAAGTGCTAATTATAAATCAAACTACTATAATAAATGATCATGATATTTACAAGGTAACATTTCATTGCAGACAAATGCATCCTACAAGACCAAAACCAATACCTGGCAAAAACAAAAAAAACAAAAACAAAAACAACATCTTTTGCAGGTTCAGTTTTACTGTCAAACTGTTTTTATTAAATAATCTGTTTTTCCTTTTTTCAATTGTTATTTTGCATAATGCTAAACATACTGAAACTCGAAAGAGAATGATACAAACTAACAAAACTGAAGCAATCTAATATTTACAAATAGTTTAAAGTGCACATTATTCATTAATTTCAGCTAATTAAATTACTAATTAAACACATAACAGGACATTTGAGCAATCAATCTGCAGGCTACAAATCTGAAAAACAATATAATGTTTATTTCCTGTGTACTAATGTTTAACAATGATATATGTTTTTACATCTTAGAGATGCACCTGTTTGTTTGTACACTGATGTATTTACTGTCTCGCCTTGCAAGGATCTTACTCATATTGGACTTATTTAAGGATGAGACATGAGGATTCAAAACCGCGCAGAGGTAGCATAAATGATGCTTATGGTTTAGTTTCATCATAAAGCTCCATAATCTTAAATGCACACAATCTCAGCAGCACATCCTCCAGGCCTCACGATTGACTTCAGCAAGGATGTTACAGGTTTACTTCAGCACTTACCTTTTTACTGAGGACTTGAACGCAGAGCTCTCTCTCTCTTTGTGATTTACAGCAGCCACTGCAGTTTTCCGATTTCAGGAAGCATCAGAGGATAATCTGAGGCGAAAGTTGTGAAAGCGTTCAGAACGGAGAGTAACGCGTTCCTGGCGACTTTGTCAACATCGTCCGCGCCAGCAGAGTGACAAGGTCTCATAATGTTTATCATTCAAATAAACACATTTGAAACAGCTAGTACAATTAAAAAAAAAAAAACATACACCTAAATATTTATGCAAATATACAAAATCGGTCAAGATCGGTATATATACTCGGCTCGATACTATAGCAATAAATTAGCCTAAATTAGTCAGTCAGTGCCGGTCCCGGTCGAATTTACCGATTTATTATGTAATGCCCTCCTCTGTCTATCTCCCTCTCTCTCTCTCTATCCTCCTCGCTCTCTATCTGTCTCTGCTCTAGTCTTAAGTGGAGCTCCTCAATAAGTTTTGTTAGCAGCACTATTTGAAAACTTTCTCCTCTCGTCTCAGTCCTGCCTTTCATTGTGGATGTAAATACGTATACTTTCAGCGCCTCAGCACTATTTAATTCATTAATTCAGCGGCCCGCCGCTCCTCCTCCGTCTGTAAAAAGAGCCCTTGTTGAGCTCCTCCGCTCCTCAGCCTTTGTAGCTAAACTTTTCTGCTTGATTTAAATATGTCGGAATGAAGAGACTGTATGTTGCTTTCGTTCGGAGGACACATAGGCTACATTATTTATAAATAGACCTCGGATGTAGTTCTGTGGCGATTTTCCCTCTTTCTTTATCCGAGCGGAATTTGCGACTTTTCAAAGTGACATGACTTTGAAGTCGATCCATGTCCTCTTGAATAACTGCGCAGAAAACAGGCGCAAACCCCTTGAAAAGAAGGAAATTACCGTAATTATGATAACTATTCGTATTATTTAACACTGATATATATTACTAAAAAAAGCTAAATAAATAATATAAAAATAAAAAAACTACAAATGATAGCACACGTATGCTACATAACAGAGATGTCTATTTGACGTCTGCATTACATCTGCTAGACGTATTTTTTAGAGCGTTTTCTCATCTGCAATACATCTATAGGACGTTTCCTATCAGATGTCAAATAGACGTTTAGAAGATCTCTATAAGATGTTTATGATTTAGAATGTATGTAAAACTGACATCTTATAGACGTCTATCAGATGTTTGTACACAGCAGATGCTTTCCAGATGAAGCGACCTTTAACGGACATCTTGCAGACGTACCTGTGCTGTCTGGGAAAGATTAATAATTTAGTTTAAGCATAATGTGGAGATGGATTTTTTTAAATCGTTTTTCAAAGAAATACCTTTTACCTGGGGTATAGATGTCATATTTCTTTTTTCGCCAATGAAAGCGCGAGGCTGTAAAGAATTAAAAATGTAAAAAATAAATAAATAAATTTTTTTATGTATTTTTACTGTTGTGTTAGCAGAATACTTGAACAGATTGTAGGCTATGATTGTTCCTCTCAGCTTTTCATTCGCACAAACGTAAATATGGCGTCTCGCGGTTGATTTTGACTTTTTTGGCAGTAGGCGTATAGGTGGCGAGTTTGTCATAATTTGTCTTTTTAACTTAACAATAACAAAGGCAAAAGATATCCTACATCAGAAGGTTCTGTTTCACACAAGCTCATGTTGCGTTTTAATTTCTCTTTAGGAAAGTCTTGTTCACAGTGGTTGGTGTCTGACTTCCAGAATCTTTGAGCCTATATTTAGTATAAGTAAAATACTTAAGTACTGTTAAAATCAGATACTCTAAGACTTTTACTCAAGTTTTTTTTAGAATTGGTGACTTGTAAAGTGTAGTGGAGTAATTTTCACTGTAAGGTATCTGTACTTTTACTCAAGTATGGTTTTTAGGTACTCTTTACACCTCTGCTGACTTCTAAATTCTCAGGCTGAATTAGCAAGCGGCTGTCATACAAAACTTATGAAATGTAATTATTTACACTCTAAATGCTATTTCTGAAGGCTGGACAACGTAAACCCGAAGATAAATTTCCCGGAGCAGACACCTAAATACACTCCTGTTTGTGCCGCGATACATCTTGCGACGCTTTTTCACACGCGCATTAATCTTGAGTTCCCGCCATTACTGCCAAAGCGCGCAATTTTATTAAGCGGGAAGAAGTCAAGGTTGGGGAAGCTTTTAATTGTTTTGATAATTAAATCTAGGAATGTAATACTACATAACTTAAATATGGCATCTACCCTGGCTAAACTGGAAAACAAATAAATAATAGCTACAAAAAAATCCTTTCATAAATAAAGGAAATCTGTCACTCAGTGATGTAAGATGCAAATGAGAGGATGTTGACACACAAGAGAAGAAAGGATGGATGGAAGAGAACAGGATGAGGAACAAAAAAGGAAACAGAGGTGATGTAAGTCGGTCAGGACTCTTTTTGGCTGGACAGCTTTGTCGGAAGAGACTTTTTCTTCTGTTCCTTCTCTTTATTGACCCTTTTCTCTGGCATTACACTTCACTTGTTTACTGAACACATGGTTCACTTGCTTTTTCCCACTTAACTTCCGTCCCCCTCTCTCTGTTTCTCTATCAAGTGTCCCCTTCTGAGCAGTTGATGTTCAATTCAGTATCATATCCTTCTGTCAGTTCAGTCTAACAACATATTTTTATAGGCTATATATACCTCGTAAGCTGAACATTAAAGTGAGTTTCAATGCTTTTTGTAGACCAAACCATGAACACACACACATTGAGCAGAGACTTTAATTCAGGATTTTTTTTTAAAGAAAAAGAGGAAACCATTTCCACTATGTCTGGGATAGCGATGCCCATTTTCTGTCCAAGGGAGCCGCTCTGTGAAGTTTTATGCCTTCCCAGTGAGGGAAGTTTTATTTGGACAATCAGCGAGAGAAGTTTTATTAGGGTAGGTAATCAGTGTTAACTCCTGTAACTCACAGCTGGCCTCATGGTTCAGCCAAGGGATTCTCCATCATGTTTTTCTATTCCTGCAATCAGATGCATGGTCTCTTAGGAACCCTTCGCTCTTGAGCCCTCCTGTGGCTATTAAAGAAACCATTCCAACAAGTAGGTTTCCCCTTTCTTTAATTTTGAAACAAAGACTTTATTCAGTGGTTGGTGATATTTTGTCATGCATTCAGTCTTGTTCTGACATTAGAGTAGTTGACAACTTGGCTTTAATGCTTTTGGGAAGTACACATGTAATGTGGCGTGACATCTAAAACTGTTTTAAACAGCATTTTGCTAATGTTTGTATAACTCTGCATGCATTTTATGACTTGAAAATGGTGGTAAAAAAAACAATAGCAGCACAGAAAGTATTCTTTCCTTTAAAATTTGTATACATTGTAACCTGAAACCTGGCTGATTTGGATTTCTTTTCCTAAAACAGTTCTCCAAATCCTCTCTCTGCCTTTATTGAAAAGCTCAGCAGTGATCTATGAATGAATAAATCCAGTAGAGGGTGGCGCTGCACAATTCATCTCCACAATGGACAGAATCAAGAGTGCTGGGACAACTAGGTTATGTAAGTTTGCATTAGCACCCTAACATACTGCACTTACTATATTTTTGCAATATTAATTATGTATACAGTGCTCTATGCACATTTTCAGTATGCTTAGAACATACAGAACACTGCACTCAATACTGCATCCTAAAATGCAATGCGTTTGACCTTGATTTAGTTAAAGAACTAATTTTTTTTGTTTTTGTTTTTTTTATATTTAATCACACCAAAAAGTTACACGCTTTTACACGAAATTGGGGGGAAATGTAAATGAATAAATAAATGAGCAATATAACCATATTTAATTCCAAACTAATAAATGGTGATGATTTGCTGAACTAAACTTGCAACATAGTGAGTTGACATGTTTATTGCATCTCAGGAGTCTTGTGCATCTTTTCACCTTCACATTGTTAAGGGTTTGCCAAGTAGAACCAGAATGACTGGATGTCAGACGAACTTTCGCACATTTTTACCTGAGGTAGGGTCAAAGGGTTGGAAAATTAAGGTACAAAATGTGCATAATGCAATAGCTTGGAGGGGAATATTATCAGTAAACGATGACTTCAATTTCTTGCTGTTCTTCTGCCAACTGCACTCTTCAAAATGTTTCCTTTTATGTTCGGTGGAAGAAAGTAAGTCATATAGGTTTGGAACAAAATGAAGATGAGTAAATTACCACTTTTTTATTGAATTCTAAATGATGAGAAATTCATCAGCTGAAAGCTTTATTGTTGTGATTTTGGAATATTTTGACTATCTTCACACAATTCACTGTGATATCCAGTCCTGTCACAGAGACCCCTGATCCTGAGTTAAGAGTCTCCGACACATGCAAAGCCTTGATTTTAAGGACTCGTGTTTGTTGTCCTTTTTATTGCATTTATCAGGTAGAAAACATGATTGAGAATCTAATCTGATTCTGTTCCTTTCAGACATAAGTCACCTATTATCTTATCTCACTGTCTTTATCTTTATCAGCACATTCACAGCTGACATCAGATAGCTGTATGTTATATATATATACATTTCAGATATTAATACCGCAATATTTTTTCTGTAAAGCAGCCTTGAGGCAATGTACATTTTGTAAATGTAAAGTGCTGTACAAATAAAACTGTCCGGACTTGATTTCATAAAGATCCCATGTTTACTGTCGGACAGCATCACATACATTCAGTCTGTCTGTTTAGGTTTGTTCTGCAGTTGCTCCACATAATTGATGACACATGTTCACTCATCTAATTATATATGATCAAAGAGAATTCACGATTTATCATCTTTTCCTGAAGGCCTGTTACTTAACAAAACTCACAGGAAATGGCAGCATGCTGATTTCTCTGCTGTTGTTTCTTCATAAACATATCAAAATAACAGATAATAGAGGTATGTGTTTTGTGTGTAGCTGAATTTCAGGACCTTTTTTTTTTAACTCGTGATGCCATCTCTTTCTGTTTGTCTAATTGTCTTTATCTCTCTCACGTGCAGGACATGGACAGGTTTGCTTTTGCATTTGAACTCGTTTGACATAATACGAAACATAGCCCGTCTAATTTTCAGTTTTAGGAGGAGCACATTACTTACAACAATAAAGGCCTTCAAGACCAAAGTGAATGTCGCAGGTTTCACACATGACACTGCGGTGAAATTCTCCAGATACGTTCTCACATAACTGACTCTGTTCGACAAAGATCTAATTTATGTCTGAGAGAAAAGCAAGAGCATGAACAATCCCTGACATCAAGAACCACGACCAAAGTCAACGGCCCCATCAGTGTTGACAAAGTGAGAAAACTCAGTGTTCTAAATTTACAACTGGAGAAATTTTGCAATGTTTGCATGTCAAAGCTGCTGTTTTCCATACAATTAAAGCAGAGGACCAGTGCAATTCAGCATCAACAATGTCAAACCCGGCGTGATACATCTTCATTGAATGGCGGTAAAACTCAACATCCACTTTGATTGAATACAACGCAGTTGCTTGGATGAAACCAAGTCATGATTTTGGAACAATATTCATTTTAAGGCAAAGTAATTCTTTAATAGCCAGAGAATGGGCCCTTTAAATAACCACTGGGATATTTGTCTTTGAGTGTTTTCATTACAGCAATCCCTTAGTATACAATGACTTGCAAAAAGCATGAAGCGTTGTGAAATCTTAATCGAAGAAAACAGTCTGTTCATGAGGGAGGGACATACAGGACACTCACTTTTATTCTCAATACGACAGTAAACGCCACCGTCATCGCACCACCCCCTGTACATGCCAATCATCACAGTTCCTTCATGTCATGTATCTATTATGTGTTGACTGACCTGTACAGGGCCATGGCCTAAATATTTGGTAAAATAACGTAAGAACCCTCTATACATGACAATATGTCTGAGACTTTTATCTGACTTCCTCATTTGGAATTCAACAACACTTTAATGACGCCTGTATTCTTGCGATTGGGTGAGTTTCATAATGGGTTTGTTGCGACATGTTAAAACTGTAAATTCCAGCAAGTTTCTGTTATTGACAAAGTCTTACAGTGATGGAAAGTGATGTTTTATGGTGGACACAAAAGAATGCCATCTCAATAAAACTTATCATGGCTTATCACCCATTTCCTGTCTTATTACTGTCTCTTTTCATCACGCGATTGATAAGAGAGAGTTTACATAAAGACAGACTGATGGCATGTTCTATGAAGGGAAGGTTGGCGCAGTGTCCACATTCTGATATAAGGTGACAGTCGAGACGACTCGGTGATGATTTTTTCATAACACTGATGAAGCACAATGAGCTCATGTTGAAAACCTGACTGGCTTTACTATAAAGAGTTGATAGTGGCTTGATGTCTGCTTGTTCATTCCCACCCTTCTTATTACATCCCTTTTATAATGTCCAAAATTTCCTCATATGTTTCTCAATGTTCGTCTTCTTTGAAAGGTGTTGAAAGTCTTTTACACTCCGAATATTCTGTATTAAATTAGTAAAAAGAAGCAGTTCAAGATTGACTTTTGGACCCGTCTGTATATTTACTAAAGCTCTGTGTTTGCTGCGCAAGAAGTTTAATGAAAGGCTGTGAGAGAAAAACCGAGCTAAAGTCTACGTTTGCTTTGGTCCGAGTCCAAGTATGTTTGGCAGTGAATTTCTACAGTCACATTGACCCACTCATTTATTACGTAACATTATAACCCAACGTCAACGTTTCTCAGTCCTACTAGAAGATTCTTTCTGGGTCGGCCTTTTTCACGCAGATCACACAAAGACACCTCAATGCTTGTCAGTTCAGAAGACAACAAATTAAGAGTCTTGGCCCATTTGGTACTGCACTGTTTTAGTTCCTAGCTTTGACTACACTTGATTCTGCCGTTAAGAGCCGCTCTTTATTATAAGCATTTCGAAGCAGGACAAACGTTTCTGCAGATTCTCAGAGTCAGTTTGTAGATAATAATCAGACTGGGGAAAACCGAAGCCTGGAAAATTCTAGATCTGCTAGATTTTGCTCGTGACTTGTCTCAGCTGAGCTCGTGGTCTTCTTAATCAATAAATAATAAGGACTAAATAAAAGGACTTATGCGTGCATTAGCCAAACCGCATATTCTTGTCTACTCAGGTTCAAAGACATCAAGCTAAACCCGTTAAAACTCACAGGCATTTCACACGTTTCGCACACACTCTCAATCAGTATATGGGGTCACTATATATGATGACGACACGCATGCTCGCAATTCTTGCGCTGACTGGGACATTTGACTTGCACGCACACCCTTGATCTGAAGCGAATATACTTTGCAATTATCAGGCATCGACAACAGTATTACCAGATGTTTATGCATGCAGTTTGTTGCGTAAAGATTCGTGCGTTCATTCAAGACCCATGCTAATTATAAGCAGCTCCTTCGATCTAAAAGTAAAACCCCTCAGTTGAAAGGAAGCTGATTTATTTTCAAGTGCTCAAGTGCTCGGGCAGTGTTTAGATGGAGGATTTCAGGTACGGTTTAATTGATTCAAATCATAAAGATGAGAAATTCTAAGGACGTCCCGACCTTGTTCTGCAGGACTTGTTGCATAATGAACATGGCAGCAGGACAGCTTTGGGAACATTTGTATTGATTCCTACAAGGCTGTAACCTCTGAGGAAAAGGCTAAATTGTTTTGTGGCATCATGAGCCGAACGGTCAAGCCATTGGTCAGGATACAGGCGTGTCAGCTTGTTCAAAGAAAAACCATGTCGTCAATACAGGTTGAGCTCAGCACAGCCATTTCTCTTCTTCAACTATGATTTTTGGGTTGATTATAAACAGTCACAACAGTGACTGAGGCAAAAACAAGGCCCCCTATCATTATAGGTGAGGCTGTAAATACTATGCTTATCTGTTAGTCATTTACCTTGAACTACTCGGCGGATCACAACAACAGGATATATGACACAAAAAGCAGAAGCAGTTTCAGAGAATTATGATGTTATGAATTGCGATGATGATTGAGTAATTTAATGGGCTGATGTAGGAACTGTGCTGAGTACGAAAGGACTGATTTTTTTTTTTGTTGGACTAATTAAACTTTCTTAGGCATTTCTGCAATGTTGACTCATGCAGGAACAGCCAGAGCAAAGCGGGACAAAATATGTTCTTGTATGTGTTCAAAACTCAACAAAATAGGTTTTACATACTTAATGTTTTTAAACACACGCCCTAAAATTCAATAATTCTAGCATTACGCATCATACGCCTTCGTTTGTTGATACAAAGCCAAAGAAGAAAAGGTAGCTGAGGCTATCTGTGGTAAAGTTCGTGATTTCTTTATCTGAATCGTTGTGGATGAGTTTGAACAAACCAAACACACATGGACCCGCATCACAGTGTTTATATTTGGATGACTCTTAGTCACATGCAGGAGTGCTGTTCAACCATCCATAAATCTAATTGAGGAAAACCAATTTCCAGGTTATCAGGTGTTAAGTCTTGACAGCTGTTGCTTAAGTTTTAGTGAGATTTTACTGATAACAGAGCCGGGCCCACGTTGGCCCTCCCTAGCCTGCGGGGCCAGTTGCGTCAGGAGGTGTGTTCCGCTCTTCGTGTGCGTCAGAACGCGGGGAGGAGCGCCGGAAGCGGAGGTTCTATAAGAACACCCGCTACATGAGCAACGCTTCAGGAATTTTTAAAGCGCTTTTATTCACTCACTCTCGCGTCTCGTGCTACGTGTTATAGTTTTATTTGTGTCTCTTTGATTTGTTTCATTGGTAGGTCGTCGCGTAAGTTACGTTCGTGTCTACCATCTGTTGCTTTAAAGTAACGTTGATATTTCCATTGCGTATTCGTGAAGGATCTGACCAGCGATTTTAATCATGTTTCCTGAGAGCAGCACTGGGTAAACGATTGTTATTTTTCATATCTAACTTTCTAATTCTACTCGCTTTATTGAAAGCGTATATGGTTGAGTTTCGATGGTGAATGTAGTTTACTCGATCAGTGGCATAGTACAGCGAGTTGGTTGGTTGCTTGCTTATAATAATTCATCCATTTGTTCTTTCATTAACAGTGTGAAACTTAATTGAACCGAATCGTAGAAGTGACAAGCACGTGGTGATGCGGGGCGCGGGTGTCTTGATCAGCTGCCAGCCAACGCAACTGTTATCTATTTAAGCGAATGTTGCGGAGTTAAGAAGAACGCTTTGAAGTACATATTCATTGGAATAAAGCTTTTTTGACTTTGAACGGATTGTATTGAAATTCTGTGAAAATGTGCAACAGTAAAGTTATAAATTACATACTGTACAACATGCACACAATAAAATCTGACACCCTACTCTCTAGATATGTTTAATCAGCCATTAATATTGGTCAACCAATAATACCTTTGGAGAAGTGCTTGAAGGATAAAAAAAAAAAAAAACTTTTTGGACATTAGCTAGTTATATTGATTGTATTGAAATGTATTTGCTGCAATTGAATTATAAATCGAAACTGATTTTCAGATTAAACTCTATTACTGTTTCTGCAAAGGCCATAGTACTAATCATACAGATGCTCACAGGAAGTTTATTTTAGTAGTCAGCTGCTCAGATTACAGTAGTGATGTGTCAAAGTGGCTCATGTTTCAGATTTGCCAGGATATTTTTATTTGGTATCTGCAGGCTTCAGACATAGCCATTCAAATATGTTAAAATATTCAGCATCTTAGTTATATAGTTATATAATACATATGCAAATTGTATATTTGTCAGTTGTGAAAATAAGTGTGATATTAATGTGTGTGACATTCGAGTGTATCGGGGGATGTGACTTCTGGATGGGAAACGTGCTGTGAATTCAGTGCGCTGGAAACACATTTGGTTACAGTCATGTGTGTGGCCTCATAAACTCATTTTTTCCATTCTCTCTGTGCAGGTACAGCTATGAGGATTGCCAGGCCACAGCTGACTGGCTTCTGTCCCAGACTGCAGTGCGTCCTCTGGTGGGCATCGTGTGCGGTTCGGGTTTGGGTGGACTGGCTGACGCATTGAAAAACCAGGTGGCTTTCAACTACAGGGACATCCCCAACTTCCCCCAAAGTACAGGTGAGGTTTTCTGTATAATGTGAGATATTGTGTACTTTATCTTCTAAGATCCTTGCATTTACTTCTTTTATTTTTGCTGAACCTGTGTGTTTCCTTCTCTTCTGCAGTGCACGGTCACGCAGGCCGGCTGGTGTTTGGCACTTTGAAGGGTAGACCATGTGTCTGCATGCAGGGACGGTTTCATCTCTATGAGGGTTATCCCATCCAAAAGGTACAAACACCCTATAATACACACACTCTGGCACGTCAGAGTCCAAAACATGTAAACAATACGGCTCTTTGTCAGTCTGACAGCTAGATTGAGAGGTAGTTGTGGCTGTATTGTTGGATTCGAGATCCAAATGGTCTTGGGTGCTGATCCAGGCTTGAGGGTTTAAGAACTTGTATGTATTTAAATATCACTGAAATTGCAAGTTGCACCAACTTGAAGGGATCTGACCTAAAGATCCTTCTTAAAAAAAGAACTAACTAACTAACACATGGCCTTACTGAAAACCGAGTTAGTTTTAACTGGTTGTGTTGTGTGTGTGATTGAAGCGTAAACTCTCTGACCCTATGGTATGCAAAGACCAGAACACTTATAGCATTCACACAGGTTATTTTGCACTAAAATTTAAAATTACTGCTAATATCAGCAAGGTGCCACAAGATGTCCTTGTGTATAAAGACCAACAATTAAAAAACGGCACTAATGGAACACAACTGGTGTAATATGCACCTGATGCGAGATTCAGAGCATCTCAAACTACGATTGTTCTTCCGTTTTAGATTACGATGCCTATGCGGATATTCAAACTGCTGGGTGTGGAGACTGTGATTCTCACCAACGCCGCTGGCGGTCTGAACCAGGACTATAAAGTAGGCGACATCATGATCATCAAAGATCATCTCAACATGCCTGGATTTGCTGGAAACAACCCTCTGGCTGGACCCAATGACGAAAGGCATGTTTATATGTGCTTATTTAGTTCCTTTTCATCACTATACTCATGACATGCAGCTGTTTTGACAGGCAGAAATTCCACACGTGCTTCTGTAAATATTGTTCATTATGTAACGTTACATAACATTACCTTTTTAGGTTTGGCGTTCGTTTCCCCTGCATGTCGGACGCATACGATCGAGAGCTTCAGCAGATGGCGCTCGACGTGGGTTCGGAGCTCGGTTACAGCGACTTCCTGCGAGAGGGCGTGTACTGCGTTCTAGGAGGACCGTCGTTCGAGACAATCGCGGAGTGTCGCATGCTGCACAAGCTGGGAGCTGATGCTGTCGGTAAGAGTCTCGTCTGCTGTAAAGCATCTTTTAACCAATCAGAACATGCTATTGTAGCTTTATGATATGATATTAGAGGGTATTATGCAGTTCTCTGAGCATTCGAACTTACAATATTTAGTTTTTCTGTAGGTCATGGGTTCGATTCCCATTTTTAGTGCAGTAGTAGTGGTGTAAACGTACCTTAAAGGTGGGGTAAGCGATTTTTCAAAAACGCTTTAGAAAACTGAGTCGGGCCGAATAGTAAAACAAACTTGTAGCCAATCAGCAGTAAGGGGCGTGTCTACTCATGATGTGGAGGAGAGAGGGTTCAGTGCACAGGACGGACATTAGCCGAGCAGAGCGATAGAAAGATCGAGATGGCAGATAAAAAACAAAAGAGGAAAACGTCTGCGGAACAAAGGAAGGCTTAAGGCAATAATGGCGCTTTTCCACTGCATGGTACGGTTCACTTTTGGGGGGTTTTCCACTGGGTACGGTACCTGGTACTTTTTTTTTAGTACCACCTCGGTTGAGGTTCCAAGCGAACCGTACCATTACCAAAACGTGACGTGTAAACTCTGCTGATCATGGATTGGCCGGAGAGAATCGTCACTACCTGCGTCACTGATTTTAATTTTTTTTTTTTTTTTTTTTTATATGCAAATGAGCAGTGGTTTAGTGACCAGCGAGTTATTGTGCTGTACGATGAAATCTATATAACATTGAAATTAAAATTAGTTTATATACAGACTTGTCTATGTGAACTAGTTTAATAACCAGACCTAATGTGTTTTAGGCATGAGTACGGTTCACGAGGTGATCGTGGCACGGCACTGTGGGATGCGCGTCTTCGCTCTGTCTTTGATCACTAATAAGGCGGTGATGAACTACGACAGCGAGGAAAAGGCCAATCATGAGGAAGTTCTGCAGACGGGCAAACAGAGGGCGGAGCAGCTGGAGAGGCTGGTGTCCACCATAGTCACCCGGCTAGAGCACAACAACAATTTCGCTTAAGACTGTTCTCAGATCAGATCTTAATCAGATCAGTCACAGACTAAAGAACGCAGACTTATACAGGTCAATTCCATTTAGCTCCCACTTATTTATGTTTGTTGAGTCTTATTTTACAATGCGAAATGGTTATAAAGCCTTTTGGTCTGTGATATTTTGCTCTTATGTATAAACCCCGTAAACGGGAGAGTGCTTATTTTTATTAAAGAAAAACGACAAATAATTGTTACATTCCTCTTAATGCTAAAACTAATGTTTCTTATTTCTAAGTTAACGTTTACCATTTGTTACGATGTCTTAATTTAAAAGGTGAATTCTCTGTAAAACTTTAATTGCTTTGTAGTATTTGTCAGTAGATGTACAGTAAAGGTCCGTCTTGTGTGTTTTATAACATTTATTAGTAAAATTTGTTATTTATTACACCTGTCTCCCTCTCGTCTATGGTGGAAAAGTGAGTTTTGTGTACAATTTTAATATTACACATTCATGGGTGAGCTGTCTGTCTAAAAACTGTTTAAATGCTTGTAGTATTTCTATAGAGCCCCTAAAGAGAGCAGCTGGAGTCGATGCAGACGTTTCTCTGGGGAATGCGATACTTTTGTGATAGAACGTAAAGATTTTGCAAGCGAATGCAAACACGCTCGTCAATTTTAAAACACATATTTCTATTTTTAATAGCCATATATTTCAGCCCAAACTCCAAAAATAAATATTTTTTCATTTTTTTTTTTTTTTATTGTATTTTTCATTATTTGGAATTTTTTTGCATTATTATTTTGCGTGACATTACTTTTCATGCCAGTATTTTACATTTATAAATAGTATTTGTACTCATTTATTGCAGTTTTTTTTTTTAAACCTTTTACTTGAGTATTAATGTGCAAATCTTGCACAGTGCACATCATTTTTCTTTTCTTTTTTTATGCGAACTATAATTGTTTTATTTCAGTGTGAAATATGACCCAGGCATTACTTCTACTCAGATTAGGTTTATTCAAGAAAGGCACAAATGGAATGACCGGTTAGTTAGTTCTCTTCCACATTAGTGTTTGTTGAACTTTTCATCCCGGATTGGTAAACCTTCGAGTGGTAGTTAAGATGGCTGCTTTGAGAAAAAGACTTGTCGCAGTTTCCGCAGCGGTGCGGCTTCTCTCCCGTGTGAACCCGTTTGTGTTTGGCTAGCGAGCTGGCCTGAGTAAACTGCTTATTGCAGACGTTACAAGCGTAACTCTTCCGTCCCGTATGAGTGAGCTTGTGCGCCTTCAGAGATCCTTTGAGGGCGAAAGTCTTCCCGCATACGTCGCAACTAAACGGTTTGTCTCCAGAATGCGACGTTAGATGAGTCTTGAGATGCGTTCGTCGCTGAAAGCCCTTCCCGCAAAGCTCGCAGCAGAAAGCTTTGACTCCAGTGTGGAGCTGCTTGTGTGATTTGAAGGTGTTGGCGTGTACGAAGGTTTTTCCGCAGTCCTCGCATCTGAAGGGCTGTTCGCCCCGTGTGAAACCTTTCGTGCGCCTTGAGGTTGCTCTTTTGGGCGAATCTCTTCCCGCAGTGTTCCCCACAAGTATGGTTTTTCTCCAGTGTGAACTCGCTGGTGGTAGTCCAAGTAAGACTTGGTGAGGAACCTGGAACCGCATTGCAAGCAGACAAAGTTCTTCTCGCCAGCATGCGTTCACTCATGAGCTCTGAGGACGCTTATCAAGGCGAAGCTCTTCCCACATGTGGCGCAGGAGAACGGTCTCTGGTCACCGTGACTCATCATGTGATTCCTCAAGTGGTTGGGCAAGCGAAACACCTTGTCGCAGAGCGTGCATTTGTGAGGCTTTTCCACCTTGTGGACTCCGCGGTGGATTTGGAGGAGGCGTCTGGAGCCAAAACGCTCTCTGCACTCTTGGTAAGCGTGAGGCGTTTCTCCGCTGTGGAACTTCTGCTCGTGTCTTCTCAGGTTGTTGAGGTGGGTGAAGGTCTTTCCACAGGTTCTGCATGTCCTCTGCTCATCACTTGCATCCGGTGGCACTTCTTCTGTTGGGACATCCAGTGCTGCCTCGGTAATGCTGGGTGCATCCAAAGTGACTGAAATGTAATTTGATTCATTTGGTTCAGTGGTGCACTGCTCTTCTCTTTGATGGTCTACAGAGTCAGATTCTTCTGTACTGAGCTCTATTGATTCTGTAACACGAACAAGTCATGTTTTTAGATATGATTTTGTATATTTAGGCCTCACGCTAACATATACCATGTTAATCCAATCGCATCAATGTCAGGGAGTTTGTACCATCTATAGGTGGAGTTTTACACTCCATTTGTTCCTCTTCGTGGACAAATGCTTCTTCAAATCTAAACTCCGGCTCTTCCTAGATAAAGCCAGGACTATGTTAGTTTGATGTACAGCAAATTAAAGAGTTTGTATATTTAAAAACACCAATAATTACAGCAGGATGTGGGTTACTTCAACAGTCTGAGGAAGATGTCCTCCAGATGTGGTGCGATTCAAACGTTCCTGGATTCCCGACACAACATCTGAGAGGAAATCTTGCTGGTCTCCTCCTACAACAATGCATTTTTCTTATTTAATCTATTAAGATATCAAGAATACGTGGTTTAATTATGAGAAGGACCACCTCCGACATGTTCCTCATCTTTGATATGAGGCTTAAGTTGTCTTCCCCTCCCAGCAGACTGCGGCTCTATGATATGGTTGACTTGATCTGGTTGTGTAAGAGCTTTTCTTGGTCCACTTGATGCTTTATGAAGGATTCTACAGATGTGTTCAGCTGTTGAGTTTGTTATTTTCCTTATAGCAGCTGTCAACAGAGACGTGCTGAAATGGCGTTTGGTCTCGTACTGTATCGCGTACCTTGTCAGTGTCGTGCGCTTTGCTTGGCCATTTGTTGTGATAAACAGGAAAGTGTGTCCAGCTGAATTCAATTTGAGTTTTGTTAAACGAATAAATAAAGAAGCTTAGTTTACCGCGGAAGCGGTCGTGGTAAGACCGAAGAGTGTAAAGACCATCGACTCTACCGTGCGAATATATATATATTGAATGTATTTATATATATGTACATGTATATGTATGTGTGTGTGTGGCTGTACATACACATATGTAGTTGTTTTTTGGTGTTTGGCTTACTGTTATGTTAGAATCATTATTATACTCCTTCCTTTTGTTCTTTTAATATTTTGAATTGTTTTTAGCTTTATTTTTTTTTGTTTTCATTTAAATGTTTAGTTTTGAAATGTTGTATGCATTTGTCTTTTTTATTTATTTTATTTTCTTAAATGTGTGTGTGTGTATATATAAATAGAGTTTTAGCTTTTAGTTTTAATTACTTTTTCTTATTTGTAAGTCGCTTTGGATAAAAGCGTCTGCTAAATGACTAAAAGTAAAGTAAAGTCAGATTCTTGTGAATCAAACAAGAAAACAACAGCATACAACAGGTTAACTTCAAGTTTCTACACATGTAATGTTGAGGATCAAAGCTCCCATGTTTATTAAGTAAATGACAAGGTTTGGGTATCCACAATTTTATTCTTTTTAACACGTGCATCATTAAAACTGTTTTATTTATTTTGAGGTCCACTGTAAATTATTAGTTATTAATTTTAAAAAGGAATACGTTTGTATACCCTATCAACTATCAACTATGGCGTATTTTGACAGTAGCTATGGTTACCACAGTCATTTTTAGTTAAAGTTAAATGGGTAACATCTTTACAAACGTTAAAATATCAATGACTATACATTTGAACAAACTTACCATTTTAATATCAGTTTCTGGATAAGGTCCACTTTTTTCTGATAGTTCAAACATTAACTGAGGTCGTTTGATATTAACCAGCTATCATCGGAAAAAAAGGGATTCATATAAAATAACACATAAAATATCTAAATCGAAGGACTCCCATATTAGTGTATTATCTTTTTACAGTAAAATAACCATTCAACTATTGTATATTTTGGAAGTAACGTTAACTATGGTTACCACGGTAATTTTTGGTGAAAGTAAAATGGTTAACATATTTACAAAAGTTAAAATGTTAATCATTATACTTTTGAACGAACTTACCATTTTAATATCAGTTTCTGGATTTCCATTTTGACGTTTCGACTGAAAAATATTGAATTGACAAATTTCTGTCACTATAGATGTGACTAAACTGACCATTATTGAGAGCACTTGTTTCTGGACCGATGCTTCACATGACATTCTTCAATACACACCTGTGAAAAAAATTAATAAATCACATAATAGGTGAATGTATAATTGATTTACTTGTTTTAATAAAGTTAAAGAGTTACTACCGTCATGATGGATTTCAAAATACAAAACCTCATGAAAATGTAAAGACCATTAAAAAATCAGCAGCGAGGGTTTACAATGTTTTATTTTTTGCAACAACTATAAACATAAACATTCATAAAAATATTTAATAAAATATAAATATGAAAAAAAGATGTTGGCACTAAAACAGCTCCTCGATCCTGTTCCCGGAGCCCCAAAACAACCACTTTTCTAACATATCTAACACACCTGTTTCAACTCATCAGCTCGTTAACTCATCAAGTGCTGGGTGAAATCCGAGAAACATCTAAATGCTAAAAACAGAAGTTTGGTTTATAAAAACAGTCTTTGTGTGGCATTATGGATTATATTTCTTCAGCTGATTCATAAAGCCCGGGTTTGGTTGAATGTAAGGCCTGGCGGTTTTCACAGCGCTGAAGGCTTCATCAAAGGACATCTTCTCCAGGGACATGAGGAACCCGATCACAACAGAAGCAGAGCGAGAAACACCGGCGTTACAGTGGACCAGCACCACTCCACCCTGAGGAGCACACCGGAAACAGGTTAAACACACACACACACACACACATCTCTGGAGATTTGTCTGTCTTCCACATACACACCTGCTGACTGGCTTCATTTATGAACTCGAAACACTCAGGGAAGTATGAGGTGATGTCTGTCTCTGGCAGATCTAACATGGTAACAGTCTTATACGTGAAGAGATCAGGGAACGCGTTCTCAACCCCATACGCCACATTCAGCACATGAGTCACCTAAACACAACAGCAAAGAAATGGAGATTACTTTTAATATCATATACATTAGCTTGCTTATTTTTATAAACGTTTATGAGAAAGTCAGATAAATTAAATGATATAAAAAATGGGAAAAAAAAAAAAATATTACCTTTAATTTCTTCAACGTGTCTATATCGTGAGCAGCATCCTGTGATGCTAAAAATCACACAATTAGTTCAATGTAACGAGTAGGGTTAAAACTCAGTGTGTCATGGTAACTTAATTTTCGATCAAAAATTTTAAATAATAATAATAATAGATTTTACAATAATAATAGATTTTTTTAAATAATATAATTTTTGATTAAACTGGAATTAGCCATAAATAAATAATCTGGAGAATTTAAGAAGTTTAAATTAAAATTTAGTTTGATTTTACTTTGAACAATAGCTGGAACCTATAGAATTCTGAATATTTTGGTTTATTTATTTATTTTTGGGGTGACCATGGAAACCTTTTTTTAAACATAATTATTATTTTAATTAAATTGTAATTAGTCTTATAAATCAATCAGTCAATCTGGTCTATTATTATTATTATTATTATTGGTGGTGGTGGTGACCATGGTGATTTTTTTATTTATTTATTTATTTTATTAAAGGTTGTTCTTCTTTGATATGCATCGTTACACAAAGCACCATGCAATGCCACATTTATTTAGACTCTGTTGGCACCTTTAAGTCCATAACTACAGTAATAATCATCATGGAATAATGATATTCCCAGCAGTGTAGCATGGTACCACCACAGTAGGGCTTGTGTCAGGTTTGCATAATAAACATTGCAATTACATACAAGGAATGCATTATAGACCTAACGCACAGAGTAGGAGGAATGGTGTAATGGTGCCCACTTGCAGGTCGAGGCTCGAGTCCTGCACGAACCCGCACGCGTCGCGACTCTCGCGCTCTGAATCGCGCGTCACGTGAAAATGATCGCCGCGGCGCGTCTCGACGAGTTTCTCGCCCGTCACGGTCGTCACTCTCGTGCTCCGCTTCCTCAAACGCGCCGCGGGAAATCCCTGGATCTCCTGCGCCAGAGAATTCATCTTTATTTACAGAGTTCTATTGATCGAACTGCGGCACTAAAGAGAAGGGCTGTAAAAACAAAGCGGGGGACCTTAAGTTTGGTACACCAGGTAATTTCAAAATAAAAGCTCCTCTTCAGGCATTAACACTCACCCATGCTGACCCTAATTTCACAAGTACAACTTTCTTTACTAATAAATTCTACATTACATTCATCATCATTACTAATAAATCTGAAATACGGAAAACAAACGGTATAAATACTTTCAGAAACGTTGCAATTTTATTTGTAGTTAATACCTGGGTGTTAGTAAATTAGTAAAAAGAGTAAAATAAAAGTTTATCTTATACACTTAGTGTATTTCTTTACATTTTTTCTTTGAATTTAAACAAAATCTTACTCTTATAGATCGTTTAGATCAGGGGTGCCCAAACTCGGTCCTGGAGGGCCGGTGTCCTGCAGAGTTTACCTCCAGCTTGCCTCAACACACCTGCTGGTAAGTTTCTAGTATGCCTAGTAAGAGCTTGATTAGCTGGTTCAGGTGTGTTTAATTGGGGTTGGAGCTAAACTCTGCAGGACACCGGCCCTCCAGGACTGAGTTTGGGCACCCCTGGTTTAGATTAAAATATAAGTGAAATTTTTTTTATGTGTTTTAGTTGCGGACTTTCAACGTTTCAACATTTTCATCATTTCCTTTTAGCCTTTTTACAATTAAATAGTTACCCAAGCAGTGCCAGCAAATTTTTCATTTCAAATATTCAATCTAATCTCTAAATGTATGAGGTTATGAAGCTGCATGCATGAGTGCATACAAGAATTAATATTCTTGACTACTGATATATAGCTATCTACCAACATTATTACAGGTATTTGCTTACTAAGAAGGTAAAAGTCACATTGACAAGACCTTGAACCCCAAAAACATTCTACTTTATTAAAAAATGTATTGAAAACCCACATAAATGAATCAAACATCCTGTAAAGCCTTCTGCTTGGCATTGGGGGGAAGAGAGCATCCTCCACCTTTTCATATACATCATTCTCTTTAAAGAAAAGTGCCATCTTGTTAAATCGTATGGTTCTGCATATGAGAATAAGATTCAGTCTGTTCCCAGTTCTGTTGCTCCTGTCTAGATTGTACTGAATGGATGTTTTGCATTGCTCATATAAACAGAACTAACTAAAGGAATGCATGTGGAATTAAAAAAAAAAAGTATATGGCCCTTTTAGCTTGTTAAAAGATCCTTTAGTTTTTAAATGCATCTTAAAAAGTTTGTCCCATAAAACAGCTGCATGCATGAAATTAAATCCAAACCAAATCACATTCAGTAAGTAAAGCTGGGTTCGATCTACAGTATCATCAGCACATGCGTTTCTAATACAGCGTTCTTTATGCGTGCAACATTCAAATAAGACATTCACTGAAAGATATGCAGCTCATGAACATGAAATATTGATTAAAAAAAAAATTAAGAATGATTGAAAAAAGTGTAAACTAGTTTCATCTGGAGGAATACATGCAGCTTGATCCAGAAATGCTCAAACATACTGTAAATGGTTTTCTCTTGGCTTTAGAAATGCATTTGGCACAGTATTTGCCTGCAGACTATCTAAACAGGGTTGCTTTATTAAGGCTGTTATCCCTCAGAAATGCATTACAGAAGTGTAAAAATGAAGGCACTCTTCAGATGGCAGGACTGCAGAAGCCAAGACCGTCTCAGTGCAGACAAACGGCGAAAATCTGGAGAGAGATCCACTGC